ATAAGCGAAAACAGAAGCAAATTTATCCGAAAGAGAATGCTGGATGAAAACAGAAGCAAATTTATCCGAAAGAGAATAATTTAAGGCATTTTTTCTTATTCTGTCGAAGCCACTGATTGCGTTATTGCAGTATTTATTACACAATTCTCAATTCTTACATGTCCCCAAAATTTTTTTCATCATTTTTATTATTTCAAAAACCAATAAATAGGGGTGCGTACAAGGGTAGCCGGTGCAATCATGCGTTTTGTGTAATTCCGCTCAGCGAACGTTTGCCTGCCAAGGATTTTTACTGCTGTTCACTTTGGTCTATGTAAAAATTGCCCACATTTTGTCCGGTTCCTAAGCTGCAGAATTCTTAGCTAAACATTTCACGCACCGGTGCGTAAACCGTAAACGCACATGAAAGCTGAACTTGAAACCTTGGACGATTAACACCCCTCCAAATTCCACCTCCTAATCCTTTGGCTTACAGGTGTTTCCACTCCAAAACTTCCACTTGGCATACTACAAATAATATGTAATTTCATTTATAAAATCATAATTTTTTTTTCATTTTTTTCAGCATACGAATCAGGATTGCAGTCCCATTCTTGTGCGTTTACAATTTTTCCTATTTTTGTTCTTTCTTTTATCCACAGAAAAACCTCTCACATTTTCATTCACCTCCTCTCTCTCATTTCATTTTAGCTCCATTACATCATCTTACTGGGCCTACCTTACTTTTTTTTACAAACCACCCATTCTTCATCGGGCCTGGGGATTCTGCAACAAGCAACAGTTTCGACCATCACCAACGTCGTCTCTTCACATTCACTACTCACAGAAACTATCGCCGTCCACAAACGCGACCCTATTTCCTTCGCTCAGAAGCCAATCGCTAATCGACATTTCGGGAGTCGCCACTAAATTTATACCATTCACTTGGTCAGTGCCTAACAGGTCTTGCTTGGCAAGCCATCAGATTCGACAGATCCCAAACACCACACATTTGTACTATTTGCCAGCTATTTAGATACGCCATCTCAAGTAAGCCATAAACTATTTAGTTACCCAATTTGCTCACTTAGCTAATACACCACGCCATACTATGATGCACCATACAATAATTATCTAACAAATAAGAATTTTTACTGTACTTGGGAACTAAATTTGAATTTGTGAGGTTCCCGCATAAGCAGAAAACATCCTCCTAAAATTTTCAGCCTCCTAGCTCTTTTTGCTTCGAGATAATAATTTTACTCACTATACACAGAGTAAAAATTTTTATGAGATAATTGTTTACGTATGTGGATCGCTGTGTGGCGTGGTGCTCTGAGCGTGCGCGCACTGCAGTGAAGCAAAATCAAGTTTATGACTTACTGACAATGAATCGTGCAAACAGCAAATAAACAGCACGAAGTGTGGCGCTTAGAATCTATCGAGTCTGTGAGCTTGCCGAGAAGGAGTCGTTATAACAGAGCATGGTTGATGAGGGCCAGGAGTATATCAGATGAGGTCGAGTTCTTGAAAGGTCCGTCGGGGAAACTGAGAGCCGTCGTCCCGGGGAAGGAGAAAACTGAGACCAGGAAGAATGGTGGGGAGGTTTAGAAAGGGTGTAGGAACCGCCCCAAAAAAAGATGTGATAGGGTTAGGCCCGTTACGTGACCCTTGACTGCAGCAGCGATGGACAGGGGAGAAACACCAGCAGTTTATTCCTCTAATAAACACTTCACTCCAGAGAAGACGTCGAATAAGATGACGCGTCAAATGGCGAACAGGACGACGCGTAGGACAATGAATCGGGGCACAGCACAAGCTGTGCAACAGAACGCCGGCGGTGGGGAGACAAGACGATAGAGGTGTTGGACATGACGGTGGAGCGGCGCCGTTGACTGACGATTTCTGGCAACTAACTAACTGACTGGCTGAGGGTTTGGATCTAGGAAGGGTTTATATAGGGAGAATTAGTGGAGGGAAAAGAAGGGCAAGTCAGTTAATGAGCAGGAAGGTAGATAGTATAGAAACATTTAGAATTTGGTGGAAATTGTTAGAAGTTAGTAAGACGGGGGAAGTAGGTCGAAGTGCTAGGAATTAGTGGGAGGAGGGAA